GTGAGCATCTAGCCATTGTGGGGTTTTTTGTTTTTTGTTGGTTTTTTTTTTGGGGGGGGGGGGGAGGGTCAGGCATATGAGTGAACCCACCTAAGGGTCACCAGTGAGTCAGCTGAGTCTGTAGTAACGTGTGTTTTTTAAAATATTTTTTATTGGTTTCAGTGAGGAAGAGAGCGGGAGAGATAGAAACAGCAGTGATGAGAGAGAACCATGAATCGACTGCCTCCTGCACGTCCCCCCTACTGAGGACTGAGCCCACGACCTGGGCATGGGATGGAACCAGGGACCCTTCCATCTGCAGGCCGACACTCTATTCACTGAGCCACACCGGCTAGGGCTCTTCCTGGCCCTGGTTGGCATGCATCCTCCCTCGTGTTGTTTGCAGTAATATGGCAAGTGTCCCCCGGACCATGACGAGGGCCAGTTAGCAGGAGGAGTGATATAGTGAGATCTAACCCCCACCACATCCTCTCTATTGGGCCAGGCACCCTTGACATCTTCACACCCATCACCTGAGCTCATCCCCTCAGGAACCACATACGGAAGGCGCCGTGTTTCCATCCTCGCTTGGCAAAGTAGACTTGGCAACGGGAGGATGAGAACCCTGGCCACAGCTGTTCCGGTTTGAGAGTCCCGGTAATCCGGCACCTGGGGCAGCGGCGCCTATAGGGTCAGCACCTGGGGCTTGTGTCTATAGGTCCGGGTCCTGTGTTGATGCCTACAGGTCAGCACCTGGGACAGTGGCCTGTGGATTCAGCAGGATTAGACAGTGTCTATATATATAGATGTAGCACTTGGGGCAGCCCTCTATTTTCAGCACCCGGGACAGTGGTCTGTGGGCTCAGCACCTGGGAGTGTGCACCTTTCAGCACCAAGGATAGCGGTTATAGATTCAGCACCTGGGACAGCGCTCGCCCCGCCCCCCCCCGGGCTTGTCCACAGATTCAGCACCTAGGACAGTGTCTGGACTTAGCCCGGCCCAGTTCAGAGGCTGGTAGATCTAGCACCCAAGACAGTGTCTCTTCAGCACCAAGGACAGAACCTATGGGTTCAGAGCCTGGGACCCCCACCTGCTTTTCCGTCCTAGACAGGAAGGAGCAGGAGGTGGGGTATGGGCGTGACTATGCCCAGGAGAGGCTGGGTTTGTAGCGACAGGCACAGAGGACGAAGACCCTCATTCGATGCACGCCTCTCTCTTCCACCTCCGCTCCGCCGTCCCCTGTTCTTGCGTTACCGTCGCTCCTTGGGGCGAGCAAACACCCCCACCGCCTTGCTACCTGACCACCAAGTCTGTTGTCCATTGACCTGGAGACATACCTAAGCCCTCCTGGGCAGAAAACAAACAAACAGGGTAAGACCGAAGCTTGACGATAAGGAAGTGTTTCCGTTGAAAATGTCATTCTCGCCGAAACCGGTCTGGCTCAGTGGATAGATCGTCGGCCTGCAGACTGAGGGGTTCCGGGTTCGATTCCGGTCAAGGGCATGTACCTTGGTTGCGAGCACATCCCCGGTGGGGGGTGTGCAGGAGGCAGCTGATCGATATTTCTCTCTCATTGATGTTTCTAACTCTCTATCCCTCTATCCCCCTCTCTGTAAAATATATATATATATATATATATATATATATATATATATATATATACTGTATATATATATTTTTTAAAGCGTTTTTTAAAAAAAAGAAAAGATAATGTCATTCTCATCGGAGCATTTCTCTGTGTTGCTGAAGGTCTCCAGATCGTAGCGTTTTCTTTATTTTTTTAACTTAACTTTTGTTGTTGAACGTATGACGGCTGTCCCCATTTTTCTCCCTCTGTGACCTCCTCCATCCCCACCTCGCGTGTCACTTGGACGCGGGTCTCATGAGCTCTTTAGAAGGGTGCGCTGAGTTTTCTCAGTGTGCGGGCATTTGTTAAGTTGTCTGCCGAACCTAACTGTGGCATGGCCAGAGAGCATGGTCCCTGCGATTTAACCCTTTGGCTTTTTTGTGTGATATGCTTCACATCCCAAGATATAATAAATCCTTTATCTCTGCCCTGACCGGTGTGGTTCAGTGGATAGAGCATCGGCCTGCAGACTGGGGGGGGGGGGGGGGGTCCCCCAGGTTCGATTCCAGTCAGGGGCATGTACCTTGGTTGCGGGCACATCCCCAGTGGGGGGTGTGCAGGAGGCAGCTGATGGATGTTTGTCTCTCCTCGATGTTTCTAACTCTCTATCCTTTCCCTTCCCCTCTGTGGAAAATCAATAAAATATCTTTAAAAAAAATAAAAATAAACAGTTTATCTTTAAATAACGTAAGTACTGTATTGCCACCCGTTTTCGTAGAAAAGCTTCTTGGGTAAATATTTCACAAAGGTTCCGTGCGCCCTGAACACACTTGGTAGCTGTCAGCTCTCGAGAATATAAAATTCCATAAGTCCCTTGGGTGAAGCGTGTCAGCCGCAAGGTCAAGTCTCTTCTGCCCCTACGCCAATGACGTGTGATTTCATTATTACCAAGCACTTCTCCTCGTTGGTGCGTGCCCTCGGCCCCCGAGCCCGTTCTGTCTGACAGGGACGGGCCACACAGCAGCTTTCTGCTGATTGCAATTTGCATAGTGTGTTCCTTTCCTGCCGTTTTAATTAAAAAATTATCGGTGTCAGAGAAGAAGAGAGAAGGAGAGAGAGAGAAAGAGAGAGAGAGAGAAACAACAGCGATGAGAGAGCATCATGGATCAGCTGCCTCCTGCACACCCCACACCAGGATGGAGCCAGCCACTCAGGCTCATGTGCCCCTGACTGGGAATCGAACCTATGACCTCCTGGTTCCTAGGTCAATGCTCGGAGCCCGCCGGCACGGTGCCCACCATTTAAATGTCACCTTTTCTGTGTCTGCACCTCGTGGACAGCTCCCACAGGCAGAGCATGCGTGAATTGTTGTCCTCCGCCTGCCAACTCATTGCTTTGAACCGGAGCATCTGGTGTCTCTGCGTTTAATTGAATTAGCGGCTCCTGTAGGTTAGGGCCACCCCTCTCATCTCAGGCCTGCTCCTTGCTTCACATCTCCTTCCTGCACCTCCTGTTTATCGCCTCCTTTTGCATTTTTTTTTTTTAAATCAGCTTTTGGGAACTATGTCAGGAACCCAACCACTTCTCACCAGCGCGCACGGCTGCCATCCTCACCCGGACCATCCCCCTGGCTCCCCCACCCTCTCCCCCACCCCCCACAGCAGGAGGAGCCTGAAGCCTCCTGACTCACCGCCTCGCCCGCCCGGCATCTCTCCTGCCACCCACTCCCCACCCGCCCTCGGCCATCTGCTCTCAGAGCGGCAGCCAAAGCCGGCTACTGATACCACGGACGCTCCCTCACTAAAGGCTGCCGCGGCCCTGGCCCGCATTGCTCAGTGGGTAGAGCGTCGGCCTGCGGCCTGAAGAGTCCAGGGTTCCAGTCCACTCAAGGGCACAGGCCAGGGGTTGCGGGCTCCATCCCCGGGGGGGAGGGGGACGACGTGCCAGAGGCAGCTGATCCATGATTCCCTCTCAGCATCGATGTTTCTCTCTCTCTTCCTTCCTCCCTTTCTCCAATAAAATCAATAAAAACATATTTTAGCCCTGGCTGGTTTGGCTTAATGGATAGAGCATCGGCAGTGCTGACTGAAGGGTCCCGGGTTCGATTCCGGCCAGGGGCACATGTCTGGGTTGTGGGCTCGATGCTCAGGAGGGGGCGTGCAGGAGGCAGCCGATCCATGATTCCCTCTCATCATCGATGTCTCTCTCTCTCTCTCTCTCTCTCTCTCTCTCTCTCTCTCTCTCTCTCCATCTCTCCTTCCCTCTCTCTCTCTCTTCTTTTCTCTCTCTCTCTCTCTCTCTCTCTCTCTCTCTCTCTCTCTCTCTCTCAAATAAAAACAATTAAAAAAATAAAATGGGGTAGTAACCAAAAGCAAATATTCTAGGAGAGAAGCACTGGGGTTGGGGGTGGGGGGAGAGAATACTTAGACGTGAGGAACGAAAAGCAAGACCACCTGTGGTTGCCAAAACTGGTGTGGCTCAGTGGATAGAGCGTCAGCCTGCAGACTGAAAGGTCCCAGGTTCGATTCCGGTCAAGGGCATGTACCTTGGTTGCGGGCACATCCCTGGTGGGGAGTGTGCAAGAGGCAGCTGATAAATGTTTCTCTCTCATCGATGTTTCTAATGCTCTCCCCCTCTCCCTTCCTCTCTGTAAAAAAATCAATAAAATATTTTATTTTAAAATTCTGGGGGTGGACGGTGGGGGAGGCTGCCCAGCCACAGGAATGCCCCTCTGCCACCACGCTGCACGCTCACACAGGGCAGAACGGTGAGTTGCGTGTTACATACGTGTTACCGCAATAAGGGGGGGGGGAGCTGAGAGGCAGCGTGTTGCAATGGTGGTTGGGGGAGGTTAGAAACGGCTGTGGCAGCATAACCATGATGGCTTGTCTCAGTTTCGGTTCTTGCAAGGGTATTTCTTGGATCACATGATCTCACACACCTAAAGAAATTAATGAACAGCATAGACTGATGAACAAACACAGACCCAGGGAAAGAGAAGCAGCGATCAGACTCTCAAACCTCAGAGGGAAGGTAGGGGAGGGGTGGGGTAAGGGGAAGAGATCAACCAAAGGACTTGTGTGCATGCCCATGGGCCTAGCCAGTGGCCATGGACAACAGGGGGGTGGGGGCATCTGTGGGGAGGGGTTTGGGATGGGGATGGGGGGATGAGAGACAATATGTGATACCATAATCAATAAAAAAAATAAATAAATAAAATAAAAAGAAATGGCTGTAGGCTGTGGACGGCAGCAGGTAGGTGCCGGCTAACCTGGGGGCCAGTGGCCGGCCGGTGGGCCAGCGTCTGCAGGCCGCGGTGTGGGCACAGGCAGGCGGGCGGCCCAGCCCCGCGGGAAGCCTCCTGGAGGGACCAGGGGCCACCCACGCCTTCCCGCCCGCCCGCCCGCCCGAGGGTGTGAGCGTAACGAGCCGTCTCCTCTGGTTTGTCCCCAGGCGGAGGTGACGAGAGGACAGACTCCCGGGCACGGCCGGGGGGCCTGGACGGAGGGAAGAAGACAGTCTCTTAGGTGGTGCCTCACACATCAGGTCCCACCATTTCCTTCTTTAATACGTTTTTATCGTGGATGGTTTCACGATATCTCCCCTTTCCTCCCCCTTCCCTCCCCCTTCCCTCTCCTCCTCCAGGGATTCCATGTTTAAAAACAATATTTTTTATTGATTCCAGAGAGGAAGGGGGAGAGAGAGAGTGAGAGAGAGAAAGGACTGACAGGTCCCGGGTTCGATTCCCGGTCAAGGTCACGTACCTCGGTTGCAGGCCATCCCCGGCCCTGATGGGGGCCCGTGCGGGAGGCAACCAGTGGGTGTGTGTCTCTCTCACATGACGTTTCTCTCTGTCGCTGCCTCTCTCTCTCCCACTCTCCCTAAAAATCAACGGAGCTCTGGCCGGTGTGGCTCAGTGGATGGAGCGTCGGCCTGCGGACTGAGGGGTCCCAGGTTCGATTCTGGTCAAGGGCATGGACCTTGGTTGTGGGCACATCCCCAGGAGGGGGTATGCAGGCGGCAGCTGATGGATATGTCTCTCTCATCGATGTTTCTAACTCTCTACCCCTCTCCCTTCCTCTCTGTGAAAAATCAATAATATATATATTAAAAAAAAAAACAAAAAACACACACGTATGTGTATATACCCTGGCGGGCGGGAAGGGTTCCACATGGTCCCAGGGCCACGCCCGTGACCTATCCCTCTCCTGTGACCTTTGCTCTCCCATGACCTTTGCTCTCCCGTTACCTTTGCTCTCCTGTGACCCTCACTTTCCTGTGACCTTTGCTCTCCCATGACCTTTGCTCTCCTGTGACCTTTGCTCTCCTGTGACCCTCGCTCTCCCGTGACCTTTGCTCTCCCATGACCCCCGCTCTCCCGTGACCTTTGCTCTCCCATGACCCCCGCTCTCCCGTGACCTTTGCTCTCCGTGACCTTTGCTCTCCCATGACCCCCGCTCTCCCGTGACCTTTGCTCTCCCGTGACCTTTGCTCTCCCGTGACCTTTGCTCTCCCGTGACCTTTGCTCTCCCGTGACCTTTGCTCTCCGTGACCTTTGCTCTCCGTGACCTTTGCTCTCCCATGACCTTTGCTCTCCCGTGACCCTCGCTCTCCCGTGACCTCGCTCTCCTGTGACCTTTGCTCTCCCGTGACCCTCGCTCTCCCGTGACCCTCGCTCTCCCGTGACCTTTGCTCTCCTGACCCCCGCTCCTCTCCACTCCCGTGACCTTTGCTCTCCTCCGTACCCCCCGCTTCCTGTACCTTTGCTCTCCGTGACCTTTGCTCTCCCGTGACCCTCGCTCTCCCGTGACCTTTGCTCTCCGTGACCCTCGCTCTTCGTGACCCCCGCTCTCCGTGACCCCCGCTCTCCCGTGACCCCCGCTCTCCCGTGACCCCCGCTCTCCCGTGACCCCCGCTCTCCCGTGACCCTCGCTCTCCCGTGACCCCCGCTCTCCGTGACCCCCGCTCTCCCGTGACCCCCGCTCTCCGTGACCCTCGCTCTCCGTGACCTTTGCTCTCCATGACCCTCGCTCTCCGTGACCTTTGCTCTCCATGACCCTCGCTCTCCGTGACCCCCGCTCTCCCGTGACCTTTGCTCTCCCATGACCCCGCGCTCCTACCGGACCCCCCTCCCTCCCCGTGGACCCTCCCTCGCTCTTTCCCGTGACCCCCCGCTATCCCGTGTGACACCTTTTGCTCTCCGTGACCTCTCGCTTCTCCCGTGACCCCCGCTCTCCGTGACCCCGTCTCCGTGACCCCCGCTCTCCCGTGACCTTTGCTCTCCGTGACCCCCGCTCTCCCGTGACCTTTGCTCTCCGTGACCCCCGCTCTCCGTGACCCCCGCTCTCCCGTCTCCCCGCAGATGGATGGTTTCTAGCCTGCTCCCCAACCCCACCTCGGCCGAGTGTTGGGCGGCCCTCCTGCGCGATCCCATGACTCTTGATATGGACGCGGTCCTGTCAGACTTTGTTCGGTCCACGGGGGCAGAACCGGGTCTGGCCAGGGACCTGCTGGAAGGTAGGTGTCCTCCCGGCGTCCCCAACCCCCTCTGGGAGCCAGCGCCGCCCCGCCCCGCCCCGCCTGCCCGGGGGCGAAGGGGAGGCCCTGGTGGGGACCCCTGACGCTTGCTGTTTTTTAAATAACATTTTATCGCGCTGACCCGTGTGGCTCAGCGGATAGAGCGTCGGCCTGCGGACTGAAGGGTCCCGGGTTCGATTCCGGTCGAGGGCATGAACCTTGGTTGCGGGCACATCCCCAGTGGGGGGGGGTGTGCAGGAGGCAGCTGGTCGGTGTTTCTCCCTCATCGATGTTTCTCCCTTCCTCTCTGTAAATAAATAAATAGAATATATATTTTTTAAAATAAATACATAAAGTACATTTTTATCGACATGAGAAAAGAAGGGAGAGGGAGAGGCACATCCATGATGAGAGAGAATCGCGGACCAGCTGCCTCCTGCTCGCCCCCCACCGCGGATGGAGCCCACCACAACCTGGGCCTGTGCCCGGACGGGGAATCGAACCGTGACCCCTCCGGCCGGGCCACCTCCCGCCTTTCCTCTCTCGCCCGCAGGCAAGAACTGGGACCTGTCGGCCGCCCTGAGCGACTATGAGCAGCTCCGGCAGGTGCACACGGCCAACCTCCCGCACGTCTTCAACGAGGGCCGGCCCCCGAAGCCGCCGGAGCGCCCGCCCGCGCAGCCCGGGCACAAGGCGGAGCGCGCCTGCCCGCCGAGACCGGAGGACAGCGCCCAAGGTGCCCGCCGTGAGGGCCCCCCCACCCCCCGTGCCTGAGCCCCGAGCCCGCCTCCTTCCCGGCCGTCCCACCGAGAACCCCTCCCGAGGGCCTGCATTTCCCCGAATTCAACTCAAAAGAAAAATCGGGGCCCGGCCAGCGTAGCCCAGTGGGTAGAGCATCGGCCTGCAGACCAGAAAGAAGGGTCCCGGGTTCGATTCCGGTCAAGGGCACCTGCCCTCGGCTACAGGCTGCTCCTCAGCCCGTGCGGGAGGGAGTAACCCATCGATGTGTCTCCCATCGACGTTCCCCTCTGTCTCTCCCCCTCCCTCCCGCTCTCCCTCACAGTCCACAGGCTCGGTCCCCAGGAAGGGGGGGGCGCGCAGGAGGCGGGGGGTCCGTGCTTCCCTCTCATCCTGTTGTTGGTTTTCTTACTAAGACCATTCTGATCGCGTGGGTTTTCTAACTCTGTCGAGTTAGAAATGATTTCATGTGCTTTCTGTTGACACAGCGAAATCCATGTGCCTCCTGTTGCATCAGGGGACACACACACACACACACACACACACACGGGTGAACACAGACGTGCATGCACGCACGCACACTCACGCACGTACGCATGCACCCTAACACCCGCCGGGCTGTGGCGACTGAGCATTGAGTTTGACCCTGTTTGCCGGGCCCCAGCGCCCCAGCGCCCCAGCCGGACTCGAACCCTGGTCTCCCCTCCCCGCCCCTCCCCCCGCAGAGAAGCGCCTGTCCCGGGGCATCTCGCACGCCAGCTCCGCCATCGTGTCGCTGGCGCGGTCCCACGTGGCCAGCGAGTGCAGCAGCGAGCAGTGCCCCCTGGAGATGCCCATCTACACCTTCCAGCTGCCGGACCTGAGCGTGTACAGCGAGGACTTCCGCGGCTTCATCGAGCGCGACCTCATCGAGCAGGCCACCATGGTGGCCCTGGAGCAGGCGGGTGAGCGGCCGCGCCGACCACAGGGCGCGGGAGAGGCGCCTGGGGTCCTGGCAGGGTCGCGGGTTCAATTCCCGGTCCTGGTTGGGGTGCGTGCGGGAGGCAACCAATCCATGCGTCTCTCTCCTCAACGGGTGCGGAAACTCAGTTGCGACAAGATACATAGATATATATGGATACGAATATCATATCCTAATATCTAGATCTCTTCCTCTCTCTATTATTACTATCTATCATTCTCCTCCCCTCTATCTTCCTCTCCTCTCTCTCTCTCTCTACCTCTCTTTCTCTACTCTCTTACCTCTCTCTCTCTCTCTCTCTCCAATCCTCTCGCTCCTCTCTCCTCTCTCTCTCCTCTCTCTCCCTCTCTCTCTCCCTCTCTCTCTCTCTCTCTCTCCTCTCCTCTCTCTCTCTCTCTCTCTCCCCCCCTCCCTTCGCCTCTCTGGAATTAAAAAATAAAAGAAAGGAAAAGTAGCCACAATGCCCCACCTTCCCCTGAGGTCCTGGAAACCCCTCCAGCCCTTGTGGCTCCGTGGATAGAGCGTCGGCCTGCGGACCGAAGGGTCCCGGGTTCGATTCTCCTGCACATGCCCAAGATGGGCGTGCAGGAGGCAGCCGATGTGTGATTCCCCCTCATCTCGGATGCTTCCCTCTCCCTTATCTCCCCTCCTCTCTGAAATCGACATAAATACGTGTGGTTTTTATAAAAAAAGAACGCGGAATAAATCGAGCTTCTGCCGCACGCAGGTCGCCTGAACTGGTGGTCCACGGTGTGCACCAGCTGCAAGCGGCTCCTGCCTTTGGCCACGACCGGCGACGGGAACTGCCTCCTGCACGCCGCCTCCCTGGGTGAGCCCACGGGGCAGGGGGGACGTGGAAAACGCACGAGGAAAGACCTGTCCGGATAGGAGGAGGCCCGAGCGGAACTGGCCCTGGGATGGGGGTCTAGGGAAATCAAAGGGGACTTCCTGGAGGAGGCGGGGTTTTACTGAGACTCAAAAGAACGGAGCGAAAGCGTGGGAAGGAGGCCCGCCCGGCACGGCTCTGTGGTTGAGCGTCGACCTATGAACCAGGAGGTCAGGGTTGGATTGCCCGGTCAGAGCACATGCCCATTCGGGTTGCGGGCTTATAGGAGCATGCCGGAAGCAGCCAGTCAGTGATTCTTTCTCATCGTGGATGTTTCTCTCTCCCTGTCCCTGCCTCTGAAATCAATAAAAATATGTATTTTTTTTTAAGATATATTTTATTGATTTTGTACAGAGAGGAAGAGAGAGAGATAGAGAGTTAGAAACATCGATGAGAGAGAGTCATCGATCAGGCGCCTCTTGCACACCCCCTACTGGGGATATGCCCGCAACCAAGGTACATGACCTTGCCCGGAATCGAACCTGGGACTCTTCAGTCCCCAAGCCGACACTCTATCCATTGAGCCAAACCGGTCTCGGCAAAATATGTATTTTTTTTAAAAAGGGGACATTCCAGCCCTGGCTGGTTTGGCTCAGTGGATAGAGCGTCGGCCTGCGGACTGAAAGGTCCTGGGTTCGATTCTGGTCAAGGGCATGGACCTTGACTGCGGGCACATCCCCGGTGGGGGGTGTGCAGGAGGCAGCTGATGGATGTTTCTCTCCCATCGTTGTTTCTAGCTCTCTATCCCTCTCCTTTCCTCCCTGTAAAAAAAAAAAAAAAAAATCAATAAAATATATATATTTTTAAAGGGAGGGACATAAGTACAACCAATGGACACAAAACTCTGGGGAGGGAGGGCATGTATGGGAAGGGGGCAATGGTATATGTACACAGATAATAATTTAATTTTTAAAAAAATAAAAAAAATTAAAAAAAAAATAAAATGGGGGGACATTCCAGGCAGGGCCCACGTGGGTGAAGCACGGAGGCCGGGAGCTCTGCAGGCAGACGGTGGGACGTGGGAGGTTCAGTCCCGGTGGCGGGCGCCCCCTCCCGCCTGTCCCCCTCCTCACACCCGCCCCGCCCCGCCCCGGCCGCAGGCATGTGGGGCTTCCACGACCGCGACCTGGTCCTGCGCAAAGCCCTCTACACCATGATGCGGACGGGGGCCGAGCGGGAGGCCCTGAAGCGGAGGTGGCGCTGGCAGCAGACGCAGCAGAACAAGGAGGTGGGTGCCCGCCGCCCCCACGCCCCCCGGGCGCCCCCATGGGCCGGAGGGCGGGCAGGCAGCCGGGAGCCGGGTCCGTCCCTGAGGGCGGGCGGAGCAGTGGCTTCTGGGACCGTAGGGCACCCGGGCCTCAGAGGCGGACCCCCGGAGGGTGAGGCCAACCAGGGAGCGGTTCCCAGCGTGGGCACCGCCCCCCAGGGGGGCAGTTCGTGTGGAAGGGGGGGGCGGGGGGCAGCTGGAGATGGCGGCATCACACTGAGTGTTTGGCATGTCTCACGGTTCCGAGGGGCCTCCTAGGCAGCCTATAAAATTACACGGTGACATATGCATGCCTCTCCGTTCTCTCTCATGTTTTGAAACTTTGCTATTTTTTCATAGCCCTTCATATCATTATTTTTTTTAAAAACAAAAACACAGTTACGTAGTGATTTCTCCCTCAGCGCGGCCCCTGAAAGCTCTTGTCAGACACGGGGGCGGGCGGTGGCCGCTCACAGGAGTGCCCGCCAGGGTGGCCCGGCCGGCGGGCCTGGCCGGGCAGGGGCAGGGGCCGCCCCGTGACCCCGTGACCCCGCGTCCTGTGCCAGTCAGGGCTGGTGTACACCGAGGACGAGTGGGAGCGGGAGTGGACGGAGCTGCTCAAGCTGGCCTCCAGCGAGCCCCGCACGCACTCCAGCAAGAACGGCGGGGGCTCGGGCGGCGGGTAAGTGCCCCCCCCCCAGCTGCCCCCCTCCCTGCGGGCCAGGGCGGCCGGGGACCGGTACCGGGGGGCATGTGGAACCCCTAGACCCGGGGACACAGAAACCCCGGCCTCTAGACGCTAGATTCTGTTCGGGGCAGCCTTCTCGCCGCCCTCGTCCTTGGGGGTGTTTCTTAGAATGGCCCTCAGCCCTGGCCGGTGCGGCTCAGTGGATAGAGCGTCGGCCTGCGGACGGAAGGGTCCCAAGTTCGATTCCCAGTCAGGGCACAGGCCCTGGTTGCAGGCTCCATGCTCAGTAGGGGGCGTGCAGGAGGCAGCTGATCCATGACCCTCTCTCCTCATGGGTGTTTCTCTCTCTCTCTTTCCCTCTCTGACATTAATTAAAAATTGTAAAAAGAAAAGAAAAAAAGCCCCTCAGACCTCAGTTAGCCAGGGCCTCACCCTCAGCTCAGTGAGGACTGAGCCCACGTGCCTGCGAGGAGCAGGGGGAGGCCGGGACGCCAGCCTCTCCCCTGCCCCTGCCGTGCCCTCCTCCGCTGACCCCGAGAGCCGCCCCCCGACACCTTCCCACGCGCTGGCTGCCTCCGCCGCCGGGAAGACCTCGGGGCTGGGAGGGGGTGGAGGGCGGGGGCCTGTGGGTCTGCCCTCCGCCGGGCGCGTGGGAGGAAGATGGACTGGCCGGGGTCCGCGGAGGTCCGGTCAGAGGGAGGCGTCCACTCCCCCATCGGCGCCGTGACGCGGGCCCTCTCCGCCCCGCAGCGTGGACAACGCCGAGGACCCCGTGTACGAGAGCCTGGAGGAGTTCCACGTCTTCGTCCTGGCCCACATCCTGCGGAGGCCCATCGTGGTGGTGGCCGACACGATGCTGAGGGACTCGGGCGGAGAAGGTGGGTCCCCGCCTCGCCAGGAAGCAGGACCGCGTGGGCGGGGGGGGGCGGTCTGGAGAAACCCAAGGGGGCTTCCTGGAGGAGGCGGGCTTCTGCTCGAAGGATGCAGAGGATGCTGCCCCGCGTGGCTCAGGGGTTGAGCGTCGTCCTACGAACCAGGAGGTCAGGGCTTGAGCCCCAGGAGGGGGCGTGCAGGAGGCAGCCGATCCCTGATTCTCTCTCCTCATGGATGTCTCCCTCTCTCTTCCTCTCTGAAATCAATTAATATATATATATATATATATATATATATATATATATATATATATATATATATATATAGCCGAAGCCGGTGTGGCTCAGTGGATAGAGCGTCGGTCTGCGGACTGAAAGGTCCCAGGTTCGATTCCGGTCAAGGGCATGTACCTTGGTTGCGGGCACATCCCCGGTAGGGGGTGTGCAAGAGGCAGCTGGTCAATGTTTCTCTCTCATTGATGTTTCTAGGTCTCTATCTGTCTCCCTTCCCTCTGTAAAAAATCAATAAAATATATATTTTTAAATATAAATATATATGGAAACGGAAGCCCCTCCAGGAACTCCTCGGAGGAGCCGGGGTCCCCGCGGCCGTCGCAGGGTGAGGGCGCAGTCCCCGCGGTCCCCGCCGTTTCCCCACACCCTCACCACCGCGTCTGTGTCTGCAGCCTTCGCCCCGATCCCGTTCGGGGGGATCTACCTGCCCCTGGAGGTGCCTCCCAACCGTTGCCACTGCTCCCCGCTGGTCCTGGCCTATGACCAAGCCCACTTCTCCGCCCTGGTGTCCATGGAGCAGCGGGACCAGCAACGGGAGCAAGGTAGGCCCGTCGCCGCCGCCACCACCACCAGACCACACACAGGCGCCGTGGCTATACCGCGGGCGGCCGGGGCTGGGGGCCTCCCTCCCGGTCAGGGCACACGCCCGGGTGCTGGGCTCGGCCCCCGGTGTGCGCCGTGCAGGAGGCGGGGGATCCATGACTCCCTCATCGAGGATGTTTCTCTCTCCCTCCCTCCCTCTCCCTGTCCCTCCTAAACGCTGGGCACTGGGAAGCGTAGCCAGGGCTGGGTAGGCCGTTCCGGACGCCCACGGTGAACCCACAGAAACCGCCCCAAGCCGAGGACTGTTCTGGCCCCGTGGTCGGCAAACTCATGAGCCCAGCCGAAGCCGGCGCGGCTCAGCGGATAGAGCGTAAGCCTGCGGGCTGAAAGGTCCCGGGTTTGATGCCGGCCGGTCACGGGCACGGACCTCAGTGGCAGGTTCGATTCCCAGCCTGCACCATGGTGGGGGCGCGTGAGGGAGGCAGCCAGCCCATGCCTCTCTCACGTGGATGTTTCTCTCTGTCTCTCCCCCTCCTCCTCCCTTCCATTCTCTCTTAAAAAAAAAAAAAGGGGGGGGGGAATATCCTCAGGTGAGGAGTAACAACAAACAAAATGGTGTCCTGGACCCTGGGGTTCGGCAGGCTGAGTGGGGGCTGGGGTCGGGGCCTCTCCTCAGGATGGCACTTCCTCCTTAGCAACACCAGCGGGCAGCCTTGAGTCGGTGTGATGGTGATGCCCTGCTGCTGTGCCTGGCCTGGGATTCTGCTTGTGGACTGCCCTTTTGTTCTGCCAGGAATCCGGGGGCCTGACAGGGGGTGCCTGGCCGGCCCCTGGAGGGAGTGGGACCTGGGAGGAGGAGGAGGAGGAGGAGGAGGAGGAGGAGGAGGAGGAGGAGGGGGGAGGTGGCAGGCCCAGGGCCGGGGCAGGGCCTGGGGTTCAAGGACCCCATAGGCTCACCTGTGCCTGGATCCAGGCCAGGCCACATCTGGCCGCCAGGGGAGACGCAGGAGAGGGGCCCAGGCCTGGGGCTGAGGACTCAGCAGCCTTCCCCATCCATTTGGGGGTGGGGGGCGCCCCCACATCTGCCTCCCAGGCAGGTGGCGTGGCGGAGGTGGAGCCCAGCGGCAGGACAGGAGGGCGCACCAGGCCTGCGCCTACCCCTGAGCCTGCCAGGGGACTCTTTTGCACCCTGTGTTGCCTGGGAGAGGAATACGCTTGACCCCTCCAAACACAAACTCTGGGTGTTGTGGGGTCAAGCCCTGGGTTCAAAATAAGACCACCGGAGGCTGGTGATTGATTTAAAAAAAAAAAAAAAAAAAAAAAAAAAAGCAGGCAAGGATTTATTGAAAAACTGGCCAGGACGGCCGCAAGAGCACCACACGCCGGTGGCCACACTCAGGACCGCACCATCGCAGGTGTAGGCAGTCCTTCTAAAGGCCCAAACCACAGAATTCTTCCTCTGTTCCGAATTCTGAATTCTAAAGGCTGGGAACAGCCCGCTGGGCGTCGGAATGTGGCCCTGTCCTGCGATAGCCGATAGATAGTACAGAAGCAGAGCTCAGCGGTTAGTCTCTAAAGGTTGTCTGCAGTTTCTACCCCTGAAGCTGCCGCGTCCGTGGGAATCCATCTCCTGTGGTCCTGGCCCACAGGCACGGGGAAACTGCCTCAGCCTCCAGGTCTCCACCTGGGGAAGCGGAGGTAACTAGCAGCTGCAGGAGGAGCCAGACTAGAAGGGTTAAGATTCAAACAGCAGTTTTTACCCGCGGGTATGGTTGCTACTGTATTTCACTGGGCGAGTCCCCACGCAGCTCCGTCCGCGAGATGGGAACACGGGGCTGGCGGGGTTCATGAGACGCCTGTGTGGGTCCTTGGGAAACCCCGAGTCCTGTGGACCTGGCGCCCCTGCAGCGCGCACAGATGTTATCTGGCTCCCTCGGCCTGGCTGAGTCACGGAGACATCTGGTCTTGGAACTCCCTTTCCCGCGCTCCCTGGGGCTGTGGGGCAGGAAAGGGGGGGAGGTAGGGGAACCTCTAGCCTCGCCTGGAGCCGCCCTGGGCCCCCTGGCAGCGCGCTTCTGTCTTCCCTTCCAGCCGTGATCCCGCTCACGGACTCGGAGCACAAGCTGCTGCCGCTGCACTTCGCGGTGGACCCGGGGAAGGACTGGGAATGGGGCAAGGACGACGGCGACAACGCGCGGCTGGCGCAGTAAGCCCCGCCCCGCGCCCCCTCCTCCTCCTCCCCGCCCCGCCCCAGACCCTCCCTCCCGGCCCGCGCCCCGCCTGCGCCCTGGTGAGCCGCTCCCCCCGCGTCACTCCCGGTGTCTTCCGTGTCCCCGCAGCCTGATCCTGTCGCTCGAGGCCAAGCTGAACCTGCTGCACAGCTACATGAACGTGACGTGGATCCGGATCCCCTCGGAGACGCGGGTGAGCCCGGCGCGCGCGGGCCCAGGAGGCGGCTGTGCGCAACCTGCCCATGGGCGGGGCGCCTAGCGGAACCGAGGCTTCCTCCCAAACACTGAGTCCCCGTGGGGTTCACCTGCCCCCGGGGCTACGCTGGGGGAACCCTGGACCTCCCCTTCCGCGGCCCCCGGCTTGCAGGGAACCCCAGACCCTCAGGCTCTCGCGGGATGAACTTCCGGCGATTCCCGTGCGCGTGGGTGCGCGTGGGTGCGCGGGCAGGCGCGCGCTCCTGCCAGGGTTTGTTTGGTTTTTTGTTTTTGTTTTGTTTTTTTCTCTCCTGCGTTTCCCCCGGGAGAGAATACACACGCCCACTCCGGAAACATACCGTGGGCGAGTCCCCGCACCAACGAGGTCTGCGAGATGGGGACCAGGTGCTGCTCGGGGCGGGCAGGCCCTTGGGGAGCCGGGGGACACCCCACACACACACCCCCTGGCGCGCGCTGATCCTCCGTGCGCCCCGCATCTCTCCCGCGCTTCCCGGTGCCGGAGGGAGTCGCTCTTAGTATCTGACAGATGCTTTTGTTAGCTCAGGAGTGAATCCCCAGGGAAAGGGGCTTGTTTAAAAAAAAAGAAAGAAAGAAAAGAAAACGTGCAAATACTTGTTCCTCCCAGACGTCAGTTTGTTTGTTTGTTTTTTATCATAAATCGGGGATGGTGTTCAAGGCAGTATGGGGGCTCAGGACGCCCGGGTGCTGCTCCCAGGGCTTCCACCCTTCAACCTTTACCTGTGATTTTTTTAAAAATATTTTCTATTGATTTTTAGAGAGGGAGGGAAGGGGAGAGATAGGAACATCCAGGATGAGAGAGAATCGTGGACAGGCTGCCTCCTGCACGCGCCCTCGTGGGGGTGGAGCCTGCAGCCCGGGCAGGTGCCCTGACCCCGAGGGATGGAACTGGGGACCCCGCTTGGTTCATGGGTGGATGCTCACCCACGGAGCCACGCCGGGCCCTTTACATGTATGCAGTCCTCACAGCGGGCAGGTAGGTAGATACCTGTTTCCCTGCTGGCACTCATGATGGTCGGTGTCCGTCAGGTGCCTCCAACCTGCCTCGCACCCAGGAGAGGTGGGAACGAAGGCTATGCCTCCAGACCTAGAATCCAGGGATTCGGAGGGGCTGGGCGAGCTCTTGTTTCTGCAATGAGCAGGGCCAGGCTGTGATGACCCCACACCCGACGTGGGGCCCTGAGCAGACAGACAGACGGGCAGGCGAGGGCCCTCCCCGCCCTCGGTCACCTGAGCCTCTGCGCTCCCTGCGCAAGGGCCTTCCCTGAGTTCCCCAGAGCTGCCTGGGGCTCCGGACCAACCAGTATGCCTGCAGGCCCCATGGTAGCCAGCGCAGGGCAGCAGGGACAGGGTCTCTCGTGGGTCCCACGACAGGAGGAAGGGGGGGACAGCTCCTCACTGACCCTCCTCCTGCCCCGCCCTCCCTCCCTGTCCACCTCCTCCCCTCTCCCTTCCCCCCTCCCCTCCCACAGGCCCCCCTGGCGCAGCCGGAATCCCCCACGGCCTCGGCGGGCGAGGACGTGCAGTCCCTGGCCGACTCCCTGGACTCGGACCGCGACTCGGTGTGTAGCAACTCCAACAGCAACAACGGCGGCGGCGGCGGCGGCGGCGGCAAGCACCCCGGCGGCAAGGACAGCAAGGACAAGGACAGCAAGGACAAGGACAGCAAGGACCACAAGGAGAAGACGCGCAAGGACAAGGACAAGGCGCGCGCCGACTCCGTGGCCAACAAGCTGGGCAGCTTCAGCAAGACGCTGGGCATCAAGCTCAAGAAGAACATGGGCGGCCTGGGCGGCCTGGTGCACGGCAAGATGGGCCGCGCGGGCTCCGCCAATGGCAAGGGCGGCGCAGGCGGAGGCGCAGGCGGAGGCGGAGGCACCGGCGGCACCGGCGGCGGCGGGGACGCAGCGCCCCCCGAGCGCGCCAAGGACCACCGCAAGGCCAAGTCGCGCAAGGGCAGCAAGGAGGAGTCTGGCACATCTGCCAGCAGCACCTCGCCGTCGGAGAAGACGGCCACGCCGTCGCCCACGGACAAGGACAAGGCGGACAAGGCGGGGCCCCGCAGGGAGGACGCCTGGAAATACAGCACCGACGTCAAGCTGAGCCTCAACATCCTGCGCGCCGCCATGCAGGGCGAGCGCAAGTTCATCTTCGCCGGCCTGCTGCTCACCAGCCACCGGCACCAGTTCCACGAGGAGATGATCGGCTTCTACCTGACGAGCGCGCAGGAGCGCTTCAGCGCCGAGCAGGAGCAGAGGCGCCGCGAGGCCGCCGCCGCCGCCGCCGCCGCCACGGGCGCGCCGCCCACCGCCAAGCGGCCGCCGCCGCCGCCCCGCAGCACCAGCAGCAGCAGCAGCAGCAGCTGCAGGCCCGAGCCCGAGGGCGCGCCCGCGGTCCCCGAGCGCCCGCCCGCCGTCCCCGAGCGCCCTCCGGCCGTCCCCTCGCCAACCACGCAGCTGGTGCTGAAGTTCAAGGAGCGCCCAAGCCCCGGGCCAGCGACGGTTCCAAGGGCCATGCGCGCGGCGGTGGCCGGCGGCGGCACGGCCTCCCCCGGCCACGGGAGCGCACGGCGCGCCGGTGCCAGCGCCAGCGGAGCCGTCCTCGGGCGCAGCCCCCCGGCGCGCCAGAGCGTCATCCACGTGCAGGCGCGGGACGAGGCGTGCGCCCCGGCCGTGGGCGCGCTGCGGCCCTGCGCCACGTACCCGCAGCAGAACCGCTCGCTGTCCTCGCAGACCTACAGCCCCGCGCGCTCCCGCGCCTCCCCGGCCTCCGCCGCTTCCCTGCGCACCGTCCACACCGTGGAGTCGCTGGCGCGCGCCGTGCCGGGGGCCCTAGCGTGCGGTGCGGTGGGGACCTCCTCGGGCACAGCAGCGGCCGCGGAGCCCAAATCGCAGACCTACACCAACGGCTTCGGGGGCACCGCCAGCCTGGAGTTCGCAGACGCCGACGCACCGCCACCGGTCGCGCCGCGCCCGATCGAAGGGGGTGGCCGAGCCGCCCCCGCCCCGGCCCCCGCCCCCGGGCCGGGCCCGCTGCAGCAGCGGTGCCTGCGGGACAACTGCTCCTTCTACGGGCGCGCCGAGACCGAGCACCTGTGCTCCTACTGCTACCGGGAGGAGCTGCGGCGCCGGCGGCACGAGGCGCGCGGGGGGCCCCGGCCCTGAGCGCGCGCCCCACCCCGCTCCTTGGAGAGGGCAAGGAGGACGCGCGGTCTCCACGCACGCTCTCGCTCTCGGTGTCTTTTTCCTTTTTTACGCGCGCGCCCTGGCCACCCCGGAAGGCCTGGCCGGCGACCCCGCGTGTCAGCAGCAGCGCCGTGTCGGGGTCCCACAGTGCCTCCTGATGCCCGGACCTCCTCCACAGACCCCACACTCAGGTAGTAAGACGGATAGGAGACAAGTCATACCGCCGCCGGCAGCTGTGGGTGCGCGCCTGCTCGCATCCGCCTCGCCCCGTGGACACACTCACACAGCCATGGCAACAAGTATTTTTTTTTGTTCCGGAATAAAGGACATGGGCAGCCTTTGTTTTGTTTTGTTTTTTAGAAGGGAGTGTTTTTTTACATCTTTTATTTTTTATGTTTGTTTTTTTTTCCTTTTTTCCTACGTCAGCCACTGACCTCTTCCATGCAAGTGGCCACGTGTGTGCGCTCTCGGGGGCGAACCCTGGATAGATGGAGAAGCCAGGACTGCGCGGTGGCCGCTCCGGCTGGTGGGCGCCACCTGCTTCCCCTCCGTGGGCCCCTGGAGGAGAGAGGGGGCGCTTGGCCTCGCGCCCACGCTCTGGGGGCTCCCCGAGGCCCTCCCTGTAGGCTCTCCATCTCATCAGCAAAGACTCCTCCCACAGGGCCGCCCTCCCCGCCCGCCGCTGGAGCACCACTCACACTGCCATCCGATGGGCACCGGAGGACAACCTACCTCGCAGGGCGCGCGCGCATGCTCGCGCGGAGAGGTGTGGCGATGGATGGCCCCGGGGGTGGGCAGCTCAGGCAGCGGCAGCACAGCTCCAAAGACTCCTCCTCGGGTCCCCCGAAAGCCAGGCTCCGAACTGCCCAGCTCTGAGCCAAGTCTCCCCCCAAGACTGTCCCGTGGAGGCCGGTGCCCCACGGGGGGAGAGGAGAGGCGGGACAGGGAGCCTCCGGTCACTGTGGAAGTCCCCCACGAGGCTGCTCCGACACCAGGCTGCGCCTCTCTCCCACCCCCACCCCACCCCGCCCGCCTCTGCCTGGGTTCAGCCGGGCACAGGGCAGCCATGCCTATGGGATGGGGTTTGGGGGGGAGGGGTCCCCCTGCCCCTGGCTCCATACCACATGGAGGGGGCAGCCCCCTCTCGAAGGGGCCTCTTTTTTTGGTGCCTCCTACATTTTTTTCTTGAGGAAAAAAAACAAAACAAAAAAAAAAACCAAAAAAAAAAAATGTGTCCTTAGCTATAGCTCGTTCTGTGCAGCAATAGGCAGCCTCCAGCGCCCACGTTTACCTCCGGAGTTTCTCGGCCCTGGCCCAGGCCCCAGCTTCCGCCCTGGTGACCAAGAGAGACGGAGGGGAAGACGGGGACCCTCGCCGCCACCACCACCGCCGGGGAGCGGAGCTCAGGGGAGCCTCTCAGGAGACACTCCCCCCCCCCACCCCGCACCGGGGACCCTCCCGCAGGGGGAGCGCCCCGGGGACCCCCCCGGAAGGGCAGGAGGCAGATACCATCTCGCCATCGGAGCTGGCGTCTCCTGCAGAGAGGACGCTTATCCCGGACATAAAAGAGCAGCAAAAAAAAAAAAAAAAAAAAAAAAAAAAAAAAAAAAAAAAATTATATACATATATATATACATACATGGGAGGGAGGGGATTATTTTTTACTTGTTTGAAGAATTATAATAAACTAATTTGAGTATCTCCCGCGAGTGATTCCTTCTTGTTTGATTGGTTTTTAAAAACGTGTTTTGATTATCTCAGAGAGGGCGGGGCCCTGGGGCCAAGGTCAGACCAGTGCTGCCCTCTGGTGGGGAGGCATATATAAGCATCAACCAAGGAAGGCAATAGTCCTTGGGAAAACCAAGCCAGGTCTCTCTCTCTCCCTCCCTCTCTCTCTCTCTCTCTCTCTCTCTCTCTCTCCCATAAATATACTTAAAAAATAAAAACCCTGCAAGCACTCCTAAGCGATACAGTTGTTTTTTGCATCTTTTGCGGCTTTCGGCTGCAAATCCCAGCACAGAATGATTCCAAGTGGGGATCCTTGCAAGGATCCCCTCCTCCTCCTCCTGCCACGCCCGGACGGAGGACCCCTCTGCTCGCCCCCCGGCCCCCCTCGGTGTGGGAGCCTTCCCGTGGGAGCGGGGCCGGGAGGATGTGTGTGTGTGTGTGTGTGTGTGTCCTTCCTGGGACTTCCCTCTCACGCCCACGCTTCCTCTTTGCCTTGCATCTCGTGTCTAGTGGTTCCAGAGGTCAGGATGCGACCGACACGGGGCGGCCGGGGGCTGCTGGGGAGCTTCCCCCCCTTCTCCCGTCAGCGGGGTGCTCGGAGCCCCGCTGGGGGAGGCACCTGGTCAGCTCTGCGAGGCTGGGGCCCCCGCGGGCCGGGGGGGGGGGGTGGTGTGGTGGGGAGCAGAGACCTTGAGGTGAGCCTGGGTGGCGGGGAGTTTCCCAGGGGGTCATGTGACACCCCGCCCACCCACAGGAGGGCTTGTGGGTCCCCAGGATGTGGACCGTCTGGCTCCTGTTTCCCCCACGCCTGCTCAGGGCCTCCTCCACTGTCTCATGGCTGTCCCCACCCTCCCTCCGTACCCCCCAAAATCTGCAGCCTTAGCTCCCAGCTCCCCTCACCCCCTGTCCCCACCCCAGGGCCCAGGGCACCTGGCAGCTCACAATCAGGACCCTGGGGGCATGCAGGCCTGGAAAACACACTCCCTGCTTGTTTGCGCTTGAAATAGAACTGGGGGGTATTTTTCTATTTATTTTATTATTTTTTAATATATTTTATTGATTTTTTTTTTTTTTTAGAGAGAGGAAGGGAGAGAGATAGAGAGCTAGAAACATCGATGAGAGAGAAACATCGATCAGCCGCCTCCTGCACACCCCTCCCCCACTGGGGATGTGCCTGCAACCAAGGCACATGTCCTCAACCGGAATCGAACCCAGGACCCCTCAGTCCGCAGGCCGACGCTCTATCCCCTGAGCCACACCGGTTTCGGCTATTTTATTTTATTTTTAATATATATATATATATATAATGGATTTCGGAGAGGAAGGGGGCGGGGGTGGGAGGAGAGAGAAACATCCATGGTGAGAGAGAAGCCTCCTCCTCATTCTCACAGCCAGAGGGCTCACCCCTGCAGACCCCCCGGGGCCCGCGTGGTTCCCTGGCTGAGCTTCGTTTGACCTCTGAACCCAGAGGTCACGGTTCTTCTTCGACTCCCGGTCAAGGGCATAGGCCCGGGATGCAGGCTCCATCCCAGGTAGGGGATGTGCAGGAGGCAGCGGGTCCATGACACTCTGTCGTCATGGATGCTTTTCTCTCTCTCCCTCCCTCCCTCCCTCTCCCTTCCTCTCTCTGAAATTAAAAAAAAAAAAAAAAAAAAAATCTTACAGAGAAAACCCTAGTGGCTTCCATGTCTTTTACCATCACCCTGAGAACCAGCCCCTCCCTCCCGCCTTCAAGCCCCACAAGAGACCAAACCAGAGACAAACACTTAAAAGCAGCCAGAACACAGCCCTGCCCAGGGCCGGCAGATACACACAGGAAGGAAGTGGCCTGGTGATTCAAAGCGGCCGGGCCCCGAGGTCTCCAGGAAGAGAAACATTTTCCAGCAAAGCCCGCCCTGGCTGTGGTTTGGAACACCATTCCAGACGGAACCCAGGCCAGCCTCCCCCTCCTGACCCCCTCCCCGCCCGCGTCCTGTCTGTCTGTCTGCCTGCCTGCCTGCCGGCTGTCTAGACACAGTAACTGGCAGGAGGCTGCCCCCAGGTCCCCAGGTCCCCCCTGCTGACCAGCCTGCAAAACCCTTTCTTTCTTTCTTTCTTTCTCTCTCTTTTATATTTTCATTGATGTCAGGGAGGAAGGGAGAGGGAGAGAGAGAGAGAGAGAGAGAGAGAGAGAGAAACATCCATGAGGAGAGGCAATCATGGATCGCCTGCCTCCTGCACGCCCCCTCCTGGGGATCGAGCCCGCAACCCAGGCCTGTGCCCTGACCGGAATCGAACCCGGGACCGATCCTTCAGTCTGCAGGCTGACGCTCTATCCCCTGAGCCACACCGGCCAGGGCGATCTCTCTGCTTTGCAAAAGGATGTGTTTTTATTGATTTCAAAGAGAGGAAGGAAGAGAGGGAGAGAGAGAGATTTACCACTTGGGCACATTTTTTTAAATATATGTATTTTTACTGCTCGGCTCACGTAGCTCAGTGGTTGAGCTTCGACCCATGAGGCAGGGGGTTATAATTCGACTCCTGGTTAGGTGCCGGGGTTTCGGGTTCCATCCCTAGGGTGGGGCGTGCAGGAGGCAGCCGATCCATGATTCTCTCTCGTCATGGATGCTTCTCTCTCTCTCTCTCCCCCTCTCCACTCTCCCTTCCTCACTGACATCAATAAAAATAAAAATAAAAATAAATTTAAAAAAAACACACACAAAACAAGAATCCGCGCTAGCCCATCCGATAATGAATCATAAAGTTTTTATTCCAAAAAAAATGTAAACGCCACTAAACATGCATACACCATCGAATGTACAATTCCGTTCATTCCTTTTCTTTTTCTTTTTTTGCTTTTGCTGTTTGCATAGGAGAGACCGTCGTGACAATATAGACTTCTGTGCCGTACAAAATACATACAAAGTTCCGTCGGCCGGGGGGACTGTACATCGGTAATACTTGCTGTAGTGATCGGGGAGCGTGGGGTTAAAAAAAAGAACGGGGACAGAGAAAAGCAAGAGGAAACGTGCTTCTGGGTGGAAATGGTCCTGGACCCTTGGATCCTGCGGGGGTGAGAGTTTGGCCAAAAGTTTCCACAGAAGCTGACCCCCGCCCCGTAACCCCCCCCCCCCCAATCCTGTTCACCTTCAAACCCTATTTGTACTGACATCAGAGAGGAAGGAGGAGGGAGAGAGAGAAACATCCACGAGGAGAGAGAACCATGGGCCGGCTGCCTCCCACTCGCCCCACACTGGGGGTGGAGCCTGCGCCCTGACCGGGAATCGAACCCCGACCTCCTGGCTCCCAGGGTGACACTCAGCCACGGGGCCACGCCAGCCAGGCCCATCCTGTCCATCTCTAAATCCAAGGAGGAAGGTGTTTGCTTCTTTAAAGCTTCGTGAGAATGGGAGAGGCTGGACAGGGCGGGGCCAGGCAGCCCCCATGCAAGGCCACCCGTCACAATAAGGGGGAGCACAGACACCCAGGGGCCCCTCTTCCCTTGGGGACCCCCCCCTGCCCCCCTGGCAAATCCAACCCTTCTCCCCATCAGGCACTCAGCAGCGGGTGAGGGGAGGGCTCCCTCCCCAGAAGGATGCTCGGGCGTTCGTCCGTCCGTCCGTCGTAAGCCGATGGTGCACCCCAGGCCTGGCCCGGACCCTTCAACCTTCTAGCACTTGGGTGGGCTTTTTTAAAAATATATATATATAGGAGTATTGATTCAGGGAGGAAGGGAGAGGGAGTGAGGGAGGAGCATCCATGAGGAGAGAGAAGCGTGGGCCGGCCGCCTCCTGCACGCCCCCCACGGCGGACACCACCCAGGCACGTTCCCCGACCCGGAACCCAGCCTCGACCTCCCGGTTCCTAGGTCGATGCTCAAACCACTGAGCAACCCCAGCCAGCCCAGCGAATGATTTTTATTTTTATTTTTTAAATGGGTTTCCGCAAAATCAGCGCTCCCCGCCCTGAGCCGGACAGCACGGGGGTCAGAAAAGACGGGGTGCTGCTGCCCGAAGTCCCTGGTGGGGCGGGGGGGGGGGGGGAGCGCTGTAACCCTGAGCGGCCCGCGTAGCACCTGCTTCTGGCGAGAAAGGACGCAGGCTCATCCGGGACCCCAGACGGCCCTCCCTGCGGGACACAGAGGGCCCGGGGGCCACTTGTGTGCCCCCTCTCCCCGCCCTGCCGGCCCCAATCGCCCGCCCGGGGCCCGAGCCGGGACCCGGGGCGTGGGAGTCTGGGTTTCCCCGGGGAGAGCCGAGGTCAGACCCGGAGGCTGCCCCGGTGTTCGTGGGGGCCTTCAGCTCTAAAGGGGGTACAGCCGGGTCCACAGGGCACCAGCAGCCGCGTCCCCATCCCGGCCCCCTCCCCGTGGGTACGGAGCGCCCAGGAGGGTCCCGGGAGCAGACAGCCGCGCCCTCCTGTGGCTAAGACAAGAATAAAATAAAATAAAATAAAGGGGGTGCCTCACGTGGGATGGCAGTGCCCCCGTGGCTGGTCCGGGGTCCCTCGAAGGCCCCCCCAACCAGACAAACGTCCTGTTCTGGCCCCAGCGCCCCCCTCGCCCCCATCAAGGGGTGAGCCCCCCGGAGAGACGCGTTCGCTGTGATCCTCAGGGCCCGGCCAGGGACAGGCCCTGACACAGGCCCGCTGGGCTGTCCCCCCCAGGGTCCTCCCGGGGAGGGGGGGCGGCCGGAGGGAGGGCGCTGTCCAGGCCTCCCCGCGCCCCCCCCCAACCTGAACTTGGCCTGAGAGTCCCTGGCTCTCCCGCCCTCAGCCCCCCCCACGACCTTCACCTTGACCTTGGTGGGAGGGGAGTTTTCATCTCAGATAACAGAAGGCTGTCCCCCGAGGGTCTTCTGTGGGGTGGGGGGGGGGGCCCTGAGGGAGGCGCTGGCCCCACCACCACCCTCGCCACCTGAACTTGGCCTGAGATGCGTGGCTTCCCCCGCCTGCCCCCTCCCCACCTGCGGTCCTCCTCGGGAGATGCGTTTTCCTCCCCAGAGGTCAGGGCTGGCCCTGGGGGCCCCAGGCCGGGCTGAGGGGGGCCTGGAGGGCTTCCCTCCTGACGCCCCCTCCCCCCCAGGCCAGACCCACACCAGCCTCGGGCCCAGGAGCCGCCTGGGACAGGAAGGCACACCAGCTCCTGCATCAGTGCTTTTTAAGGCAATGTCACCCTGCCACCCACCCGGGCCCTGTCACCGAGAGGAGGCACCCTGAACCTCAGCGCTCTCTTTGGGAAAAAGCAAACGCCCCCCAGCCCTCCCCCCACCCCCCCATCCCGCCTCTAAACAAGCCAGCTGCTCCCACCGAGGGCAGTGCGCTGGGGCCCTCCCCCTCCTTCCTGGTCCCAGCCCCTCCCTCCCCCAACGCCAGGCCCAGGGCACCTGGGGGGCGTGGGGCTCCCTCCCCGCCTCGCCTTCGGGGTACAGGGGGGCCTTTTCGGGGGGACGAGCGCAGAGAAGGACTTTGGATACAATTCCTGAACCTGGAGTGTGAGTTCCTGAGACGTGAAATGATGCGTTCCGAGTGTGGCTTTCGGGGTGTGTGTGGGGGGGACCCCACGGGAAACAGCTTTGGGAGGAGGGAACCCCCCCCCCCGCCCCAGGCCTGGGAACGGGCACGAAGGCATTTCGCCCCATGGCCAAGAGGGGGCGCTGTCCCATCGTCCAGGCCTCCCCATGCCCATGACCCTGAGCAGCCCACTCTCTCTCTCCCTCGTGGGGGTCCATCCTGGACACCCATGCCCACCTGGGCGCCTACCCAGAACCCGCCCCCGCCCCTCACACCACTGGCCAGTCCCCGCTGACTCCGAGCACTTGGGTGCCACCCCCGCGGTCCCCGGAGCAGAGGGCGCCGTCCCCTCGGGGGGCGGGGGGCTGTGAGCGCCACCCCGCGGCCTATGAGCACCCACACCCTGAGCGAGCGAGCCAGGGGGCTGGGTGCCAGCGGGGTGGCTTCCTCCAAGGCACTCCGGGCCCCGGACGCCCGTCGACGGTCCCCTGAGGTCCCCCCAGGGTCATTCCTGCTCCTCGAGGCGGGCAGAGGGCCCTGTGCAATCCCCCCGAGTCCGCCCCGAACCCACACCCGCAGCCCCCAACACACACACACACACACGCACACACACACACGCGCGCGCGCGCGTACACACACGCGTGCCCACACAGGCACTGGCCTGCAGGCTCCTGTGCCCAGGCCCGGCTCTCCCCGGCTGTCTGCAGGCGGATGGACAGCATGCAGGGGTGCCCGGCCTCCGGGTCCATGTGCGGCTCGCACCCACCGCTGGCCCAGGCCTGGGGTCCGTCGTCGGGAGGAACGTGCAGGCTCTCCGTGCTCTCCCTCGGCGTCTGGAGGGTTCGCGCGGGACACGCAGAGGGACAGGCGGGGTCCGGGCGGCCGAGCATCCGAAACGCGCCATCTGCCGTCGTCAGGGCCGCGAGGAAGCGGAAGGCAGGGTCCCCCCGGCATGTCCGCCCCGGAACGCCCGGAATCTCCAAGTCACCGCGGCCCGGGGTCCTGTGGGGACGGAGCCGCGTGGGCGGGCGGCCGGCCGGAGGACCCCACGCATCACCGGCTCAGACAGAGGTGTCCCCGGAGCAGGGGGCGGGCGGTGGGGAGACGGAGAGCGTGGTCCGATCGGGAACCGTCCCCGGTGCCTGGTGCAAGGACGCTGGGCGGCCAGCGTCCCCGGGGAGGCCCGGGCTGTCTCGGGAGCCGTCCACGGTGCCGTGTCTCCCAGCCGGCACTGTCCCTCCGGCCCAGGGCCCCTCGGAGAGGCCAGAGGGAGGGTCGCCCAGGCAGGAACGGGGAGACCGTCCCCGGGGGAGAGGGCTGCTCCTTCGCCCCTTTGCCCGGCTCCTCCGCTTAAGGCCCGGTCGCTCGGAGCCGGCTGTGCCGCTGGGCCCCGGGCCAGAGGGGTCACCAGCTCGGCCACCTGCTGCCGGCCGCCGGCCGCCACCTTCTCCGCTGAGTCCTCGGCTGCGGGGGGCGGGGGAAACGCGAGTGCAAATGTCTGTCCAGAGTGAGGCGCGTCCGTCCCTGAGAAAGGGGAGTCACACCGCGGACACCCCTCCGTGGGTCTGTCCCTTGTGCAATCGCTGGGGAAGGGTGTTTTGTGTTTGTTTGTTTGTTTGTTTGTTTGTTTAAAAAAAACTTTTTTCCCCTTACAAATGGAGTCTGACACCTGAGGTGAAGAAGATTGAGGGAGGGAAGGGTCGCCTGCATTCATGTCTCTCTCTCTCTCTCTTATTTTTTTTTATAGATTTTCCGCAGAGAGGAAGGGAGAGGGATAGAGCTAGAAACGTCGATGAGAGAGAGACATCGACCAGCTGCCTCCTGCACGCCCCCTACCGGGGATGTGCCCACAACCAAGGTCCATGCCCTTGACCAGAATCGAACCCGGGACCCTCAGTCCGCAGGCTGACGCTCTAGCCACTGAGCCACACAGGTTTTGGTGCTTCTCTCTCTCTCTCTCTCTCTCTCTCTCTCTCTCTCTCTCTCTCTCTCTCTCTCTCTCTCTCTCTCTCTCTCTCTCTCTCATGAATCCTGTCCCCTGGAGACAACAGAGGGAGGAAGGGAGGGAGACACAGAGACACACATCGCTGGCTTGCCTCGCTCTCCTGCTCCCACCAAGGAGGAGGTACCCGCCCTTGACCTTGACTCGAACTTGGGGAACCTGGGGCCCTTGGGCTTGCAGGCTTTTCCTCTTTCCTTTTCTCTTTTCTTTCCAGATGACTGAAGAGAAAGAGGGGGGTCCCAGGAGAACGGGAGAGAGCATCCGAGTGCTCATGGCTGTCCTGGGGAGGTGGGAGGGGGAGAGAGAGAGAGAGAGAGAGAGAGAGAGAGAGAGGGAGAGAGAGAGAGAGGAGTGGGGGGAACCTCCGTGCGCACAGGAGCGCACAGGAGCGCACAGGGCGGAGGCGCGCAAGCCGGTGTTGCGCCGGGTTGGGGGCGGGTCTGTGCTGTTTTGGGGGGTCCCTCGCCGGCGGGGGGTCCTCAGGGCGGACTGGCCGGCGGGTCTGTGCTGTTTTTGGGGGTCCCTCGCCGGCGGGAGCCTCAGGGCGGGCTGGCCAGGCTGGGGTCGAGTCTGTGCTGTTTTGGGGGATCCCTCGCCGGTCAGGGGCCTCAGGGCGGGCTGGCCGGGCTGGCGGGCGGGCTGCTGGCGTCGGAGCGGCTGTGGTCGCTGAGCGAGCCGGGGCGGGAGCCCCCGGAGCCGCACCCCCCGCCGCGGCGCGGCAGCAGCCCCGCGTGGAAGCCGGCGTGGCGGCGCGCGTGCTTGGTGAGGTGGTCGCTGCGCATGAAGCGCTTGCCACACAGCGGGCAGCCGAAGCGCTTCTCGCCCGTGTGCGTGCGGTGGTGGCGCGCCAGCTCGTCCGAGCGCGCGAACCGCTTGCTGCAGGCGGGCCAGCCGCAGGCGAAGGGCCGCTCTCCTGCGGGCGGAGGGGGACACGTCAGCGGGCGGGGCGCACGGGGCGTAGCCACCCCCACACCCCCTCCCCAGACACCCCCTCCCCAGACACCCCCTCCCCAGACACCCTCTCCCCAGACACCCCCTCCCCAGACACCCTCTCCCCAGACACCCCCTCCCCAGACACCCCCTCCCCAGACACCCGTTTGGGGACCCGGGGCCAGGCGCGCGCTGGGGCGGGGAACCCAGCAGGTGCGCGCAGGCAGGGGCGCAGGCGGGTGGCCGGTGCGCGCAGGGCGGGGCCCCGGGGGTTCAGGGCCGGGTGCTGGGAGGCGGGGGGCGGGCAGGGCGGGAGGGGGAGCCGGTGGGTGCAGGACAGGGCGGGGTGCAACGTCCCGGGCCGGGAAGCGGCGCGATTGCCTCATCTCACCGGGAACAGCGCGTCCCAAGCCCAGAGCGCGCTGGCACCGCCCAGGCCCGGGATGGCCCGTCCCCTCCCGGAGCCGGGGCGGGGCGGCCGGGGCGGGGCGCTCGGGGTTCCCCTCCCCTCCCCTCCCTCCCTCCCGCCCTCCTCCGGGGGCCCCTCAGCCCCACCCAGGCCCCCCTCCCCGGTCCTCCCCGGCCGCGCCCACAGCGGCCCCTGCGCGCAGCTCCGGCCCCGCACCCAGCCCAGCCCGGGCGCCGGGGACCCCCCTCCCGCCCCGCACCCCGGGGACAGGGCCTGCTCGCTCCCCGCGCCCCGCACCCCTCCAGGAGCCAGGGGGTCCCGGTTCGGGTCCTGGGGTGAGGGCACAGGCCTGGGGGTGAGGTCTCCATCCCGGGGAGCAGGCGCGCAGGAGGCAGCCGGTCCATGATTCTACCTCATCAGTGATGTTTCTATCCCCCGCTCCCTCTCCCTCCCTCTCTGACATCCATACTAACGTATTTTCTTTAAAATAAAAATCACACAACAAGCAAAGGGCCTGGGCCAGTGTCTCCACGCAGCCCCGCCCACCCAGCAGCCCCCACGGGGGAGGAGCCATGTCTGCACCCACGGAACCACTTCTGGGGCATTATTATTATTATTATTATTATTATTATTTAAAAGTATTCTTATTGATTTTTTACAGGGAGGAAGGGAGAGGGAGAGTTAGAAACAGCGATGAGAGAGAAACATCCATCAGCTGCCTCCTGCACGCCCCCCACTGGGGATGTGCCCGCCACCAAGGCCCATGCCCTTGACCGGGAATCGAACCCGGGACCCTTCCGTCCGCAGGCCGACGCTCTATCCACGGAGCCACGCCGGTCTCGGCGCCGAGCTTCGTTTTATTTTAGTTTCCACAGATGGGGGACCCTGGCCCACCGGACCCTGTAGGCCTCAGGGGGTGGGGCTGTAGGTTAGGAGGCTTGTCTGTTACCCGTGAGCCCCCCACCTTCCCCCACCCACCACCACCCATAAAGCCAGTTTCCAAGCAGACCCAGGGGGACCCGCCAGGCCCCTGGAGCCACCTGCTGCCCTGCCGCCCCGCCCACAGCTCCCCTCACAGGCCCTGCTCCTCCGAGGGTGGGAGGGGGGTGCTGTGCGGGGAAGGGGGGCCTCGGAGTCAGAGGGACAAACAGCAGCCACGTCCAGCCACGTCCCTCCCACCAGGCAGCCTGGAGGCACCCGCCACTCAGAAGACTTAAAAGGGAAGCATTTGCCCGGAGGCACAGGAGCCAGGGCGGTAATTATGGCCTCCAGGCTGCTGGGCCCGGCTCCCGTCCTCCACGTGGCTCCCTGCACCCTCCCATGCCTGTCTGTGTGTGTGTGTGTGTCTGTCTGTCTGCGGAGAGCCAGCCGGGGGCGGGGGCGGGGGCAGGGGGGCACGGGGGCGGGCAGCCAGGTGCTGGCAGCAGGCCGAGGCCCTCCCAGGTGGCTGAGGGCGGCCGCCCGTCCGCCCAGCTGTCGGCTGTGGTCACGCACGGCCACGGGGAGGGGTTGGGGGGAGGGGGGCCCTCAGAGACTCCGAGAAGCCACCCTGGGGGCCTCAGGCCGTCCCCTTCTTCCCACAAGGAAAGCTCCCTCTCGAGGGAGGGAGGGGGGAGAGGGCCCAGCCCGGCAGAGGCTGCCCTCCCCGCCCGCTGCCACCTGGCACGGGCACCCGGGAGCTTGAGCAACCATCTGTCCTACTTCTGCTTCCTGTGTCTCTGCCCGCCCTCCCCTCCCGTCCGCGCGCCCTCCTCCCCTCCTCCCCCCTCCCTCCGCCTCCTGGGTGGGTCTCAGCAGCCAGCGGGCGCCCTGCTGGGCCAGGCACCTGCCCGCACCAGCTCCGCAGGTGTGCTGCTTTGGTTACAGGTTCGATTCCCAGCCCCCACAACCCCCCCGCCCCCATGGGAGGCAGCCAATCGGTGTGTCTCTCTCATGAGGACGTGTGTGTGTGTGTGTGTGTGTGTGTGTGTGTGTGTGTGTCTCCCTCTCCCCGCTCCCTTCCGTCCCTCTGAAAATCAGCCTCATTCCTGCGGTGGATTTTTTTTTTTTAATTTAAAAAAAAATGTTTTAAATATATTTTTGTTGATTTCAGAGAGGGAGGAAGAGGAGGAGGGAGGAAGAGAGAGAGAAGCAGCATCGATGCTGAGAGAGAATCACGGACCGGCCGCCTCCTGCACAGCCCCCCAGGTGTGTGCCCTCGACGGGGAGTCGAACCCTGACCCTCTGGCTCCGAGGTCGAGGCTCCAGCCCTGAGCCACCCTGGCAGGCCGGGCTGCGGAAACTATTTTGTTTAAAAAAGCCGCTTGCAGAGCCTGGCCAGAGTGGACGGGCGGACAGATCAATACACAGGTTGTGGGATCTATAATAAAAAAAATAATAAAAGCGTAATATGCTGATTAGACCGGACAGCCGAACAACCTTGGTTAGGGGCAATCAGGCAGGCAGGCAAGTGGTTAGGGGTGATCAGGCAGGCAGAGGGGTTAGGGGCGATCAGGCAGGCAGAAGGGTTAGGGGTGATCAGGCAGGCAGGTGAGTGGTTAGGGGTGATCAGGCAGGTGAGTGGTTAGGGGCGATCAGGCCGGCAGGCAGAGGGGTTAGGGGCGATCAGGCCGGCAGGCAGAGGGGTTAGGGGCGATCAGGCAGGCAGGTGAGTGGTTAGGGGCGATTAGGCCGGCAGGCAGAGGGGTTAGGGGTGATCAGGCAGGCAGGTGAGTGGTTAGGGGCGATCAGGCAGGCAGACGAGCAGTTAGGAGCCCTGCGGTGTCTGGCCCAAACCGGCAGTCGGACGGACACCCCCCGAGGGGTCCCAGATTGTGAGAGGGTGCAGGCCGGGCTGAGGGGCCCCTTCCCATCCTCCGAGCAGTAACTTCATGCAGGTAGGCCCCTGGCTCTATTATAAAACAGCAGCTTCGTATTCCAAACCCGGCTCCTGCCCTGGGCCCGCAGCCCTGGAACCCGACCCCACTGCCTCCGGGGACAAAGCAGCTCGCCCACACACGTGGCTGCACGTGGCACACGCGTGGCTGCACGTGGCAGGGGCCACAGGCCGCGTGCGGGATTACACAGAGGTGCCGTCTCTGTCCCCGCCCCCGCCGGCCCTCCTGCGAGGGGTCATTGCTCACACTGGACAGTTTCCGTTCCCAGGTCCCGCTTCTGCTTTGTTTTCTTCCCAACCCTCCCCCAGGGTATTTTTCCAACGGTTTTCATTTTTTTATTTAAAAAAATATATATTGTATTGATTTTTCACAGAGAGGAAGGGAGAGAGAGATAGAAGCCTCGATGAGAGAGAAACACCGATCAGCTGCCTCCTGCACACCCCCCACTGGAGATGTGCCCACAACCCAGGTCCATGCCCTTGACCGGACCCTTCGGTCTGCAGGCCGACGCTCTGTCCACTGAGCCACACAGGCTAGTGCCAAGCTAACCCTTCTTTTTCTCAATGCGGGCGATGGGGTGCTCAGGGACCACGGATGGGGTGTGGGGACCTCCAGGCCAGGCCCCAGCCCCCCCAAACCCCTCTCCCCGAGGAACAGCAGAGCACCCTGGGCTGGGTGGGGCCGGGCCTGGGCCTGGGCCTCCCCGCAGCCAAGGGCCATGCCTGACCCCGGGGGCCCTGGGGAGCTCCCGTTCCCAGAGGGGGCTGAGCTGGGCCGGCTGAGGCTGTGGGGGGCTGCAGGCAGAGTGGGGTGCCCTTCCCAGGGGCTCCCTGAGACACCCCCTCCTCTCTGCACGTGAGCACCCTGCAAGCAGAGGGACCTCAGGGAGAGAGGGGGCTGGCGGGGTCCCACCTGCCCCCCATGTCCCCTCCTGCAGGCCCAGCTGCAGCCGCTCCTGTGGGAGCCCAGCCCTTCCCTCCCGGGAGCCATTCTGGGCGTGTTTGTGTGTGTGTGTGTGTGTGTGTGTGTGTGTCTCTGTGTGTGTGTCTCTGTGTGTGTGTGGTATGTGTGCGTGCGTGTGTGTCTGTGTGCATGTGTGTGTGTCTGTGTGTCTCTCTGTGTGTGTGTAAGTACGTGTGTGTGCGTGTCTGTGTAAGTACGTGTGTGTGTGTCTGTGTGTGTGCATGTGTGTGTGTCTGTGTGTGTCTGTGTGTGTGTCTGTGTGTGTGCATGTGTGTCTCTGTGTGTGCGTGTGTGCGTGTCTGTGTGTGTCTGTGTGTGTGTCTCTGTGTGTGTGTCTCTGTGTGTGTGTCTCTGTGTGTGTGTGGTATGTGTGCGTGTGTGTGTGTCTGTGTGTGCATGTGTGTGTGTCTCTCTGTGTGTGTAAGTACATGTGTGTGCGTGTCTGTGTGTGTGCATGTGTGTGTCTCTGTGTGTGTCTCTGTGTGTGTGTGTGGTATGTGTGCGTGCGTGTGTGTCTGTGTGTGCATGTGTGTGTAAGTACGTGTGTGTGCGTGTCTGTGTGTGTGCATGTGTGTGTCTCTGTGTGTGCCTGTGCGTGTGTGTGTGCGTGTGTGCGTGTCTGTGTGCATGTGTGTGTGTCTGTGTGTGCATGTGTGTGTGTCTGTGTGTCTCTGTGTGTGTAAGTACGTGTGTGTGCGTGTCTGTGTGTGTGCATGTGTGTCTGTGTGTGTCTGT